TACTGGAACAAGATTCCAAAGAGCATGAACAATTTCATTATCCGAATGCCAATATGCGTCTTTCAGAAAATTCTCATCAAGCTCCTTTCCTAGACGTTCTCCCTTCGTGGACATATTCTTATGCTTTCAGACTGCAAAATTAATCAGCGGATAATAAGAACCTAAACAGATGCAAAAGGTCATATGAAATGAGGAAGAAGTATCTGCAAAGAAGTAATCTTGGTGGTACATAGTGAGATCTCTTCACAAACTGTCAAGTACAGAATTAGAGGTCATGCAACGTACGGAAACATATATGACAAACTGGTGAGTCACCAAATCATAAGCCGAGGAATCAAGTGAAAAAAAATGAGGCACAGAGCACTTTCTTGCATTAAGCAAGTGAACCCTAGGTGAGTACGTTACACATAATCCCAGGTGGAACCTCTGTATGTCATCAAATATATCAATTTCAGGGAAGGGCTCTAGCTCCTGAAGTAACATTGACAAATTATCACAAACATTTTCAATCAAAAGCATCGACGGTTAAGGTACAACAAAGAAGTTATTTAGATCGCCCAATACATTTTCTACAAATATCACCAGATACTGATAATTGCACCCGAGATATATCAACTCATACCCTGATGCATTCGTACACCGGAACCCTCCAAAAAGCCTCACCAGAACCTGTCTCACTCTCAGTCTATCCCAGTCTCTCTCTCCCACGTGCCTACTCTGGGATTGGGGGCTGATCTAAAAGCTACCCAGTCTGACATTGAGGTTGACATTCCACAAAAGCTTTCCTTAAATTCTTTTTCCGTACCGGACAAAAAATCAGATGAATTAATGAGGGAAATCTCTCTGGAAGGAAAAGCAAAAAAGTCCACTTGGTCAATTCATGCATCTCACTTCAATTTGACCAACACCAAAAACAAAACTAAAGTCATTTATGACCTGGGCCTCAATTTCCCTTCGGCTGGGCCTCAAATCAAGCCTGACTATGGGCCCAATTCTCTTCCTTCCCATGGCCATATACATAATGATTATGGGCCCCCTTCTTTAAACCCAACCCAAGTTGAGGATAAAAAATCCCATTCTTAAAATAAAATGGTTGGTTTTAAAAAACTGTTAACCCCCATTAACTACCATGGAAATCATAAACGCCATGCAGATTCCCTCCCTACTCCACTCCATAGCAAAAAATTCAAAGCAAACCTTCCCCCTGAGACAAAAGACTCACACTTAGATATCCAATACACACGCAACCCCCTCCCCAAACCCACCCAGACTTTCAACCTCATGGTTACCAAAGATCACAGCACTAATTGTTCTTTTTTATCCCATAATGATATCAGCACAAGTAGGAAGTCTCTCTCTATCTCAAGAGCTTCTGATGGATCCCCAATCCTCCACAGAGTTGCCAAAAGCTCAGTCGTCATCGAAGAAATCACAGAGGATCAGCCAACTGAAGCTTCCATCCCCATGATTAGCCAATCTCAAACAAATCTCTCCCCCAAAGACCCCAAGGGGTCGAGGGAATAATTATCATGAAGCTTATTTCGTGGAACTGCCAAGGGTTGGCTAAACCCAAGGCAGTCCGAGCCCTCAAGTATCTCTTGAAGGCTGCAAAACCAGATATTGTGTTCATTTGCGAGGTTAAGACTTCGTTTACTACTCTCATTACCAAAGCTCTCTCTTCTTCTTCTCTCCCTAACTCTCTCTTTGTTCCTCCTGTTGGAATTGCGGGAGGTCTTCTTCTTGCCTGGAATAACAATCTTCAGCTCAATGTCATTGCTCAAAATAATTTCTTCATTCATGCTATCATTCTTCCTGATGGCATCTCTCCTTCTTGGTACTTCTCTGGCATTTATTGCCCTTGTCATAGTACTGGGAAAACTCAATTCTCGGACCTCATTTCCCAGCTCTCTTCAAATATCAATGGCCCTTGGCTCATGATGGGGGATTTCAATGATATCACCTCCCAACTTGACAAAACTGGTGGCAGAACCTTGGCCTCTTCTTCCTCTCACAATCTCTCTCAACACCTTGATGACCTTGGCCTTGTTGATCTTGGGTTCAAAGGTCACTCTTTTACCTGGAATAATAAAAGATGTGGTAGTAATAACATCCAGCAACGCCTTGATCGTGGTGTTGCTAATCCTCAATGGTGCATCACTTTCCCTCATGCTTGTATTACTCATCTTCCGGCCATTGCCTCTGATCACAATCCACTCTCTCTATCCACTTCTTTTGATCCTCCTAATCTCCCTAAACCTTTCAAATTTGACGCTATGTGGTTGTCTGACCCCTCTTGCTTTGATACTGTCCATTCTAGCTGGAACAAAACTGTCTCTGGATCCCCTCAATTCCAGCTTCTCTCTAGAATCAAGAATGTGAAAAAGGCTCTAAAGGACTGGAACTCCACTCACTTTGGAAATATTCACTCCAAAATCAAAACCATTGTCACTGAAATTGAAAACCTCCAGAAAAAAGATCAAACTCTTGAAAACTTGGCTCTTGATGAAGCCCTCCAGATTGCTCTTGATGAGCTCTATAAAAATCTTGATACTTTTTGGCACCAAAGATCCAAAGATAAATGGTTGAGTGAAGGAGATGCTAATTCTAGCTACTTTCATCTCACTACTATCATTCACTCCAGAGTTAATAGGATCAATTCTATTAAAGATGCCAATAACTCTTTGTTTTTTGACTGGGATAAGATTGGCTCATGTTTTCTCAATTTCTATGATTCTCTTTTCAAAACTGATTTCAACTCTTCTGAGCTTCCTTTCCCTTCAAATCTTGAGAATTTTTTCCCTCCTATTATCTCTAATCAACAAAACCTGGAGCTGATAGCTATCCCTTGCCCAAAGGATATTAAAATCACCCTCTTCTCCTTTGCTTCAAAGAAAAGCCCTGGTCCAGATGGATTCTCCCACATTTTTTACAAGAGCTTTTGGAAAACCACTAAAAATGCTATCATTTTTGCTGTGCAACACTTTTTCAAAACGAGTTTTCTTCTTAAAGCTTTGAATCACACTTTCATTGCCCTTATTCCTAAGACCTCTAATGCCTCTAAAGTTGATCAATTTAGGCCAATCAGTCTATGCAATGTAACCTATAAAATCATTTCAAAAATCATTGCCTCTAGATTGAAGCCTCATCTGGACTCTTTCATTTCTCCTTATCAAATGGTATTTGTCTCTGGAAGAAGCATCCATGATAACATCATCATCTCTCATGAAATTATGCACTACATGCATCTGAAAAAAGGGAAAAATGGATTAATGGCCATAAAAGTTGACCTTGCTAAAGCTTTTGACAGACTTGAATGGCCACTGTTAATCTCTATTATGAATTCTCTTGGCTTTTGCAGGAAATACACTGACTGGATTCTGGAGTGCATCTCCACTTCCACTCTTTCCTTCCTCATTAATGGAGCTCCATTTGGCAAACTCAAACCTTCCAGAGGCATTAGACAGGGAGATCCTCTTTCTCCTTTTCTTTTTGTTATTTATATTGAGTTGCTATCCAGAATGCTTAACTGTGCTGAAAACTCCAACATGTTTAAAGGTATCAAGGTTTCCAGAACTTCTTCCCCTATCTCTCATCTCCTTTATGCTGATGACCTTGTCATCTTCTGTAGAGCCTCTAGGGAGGATGCCACTTGTATTATGAACATTCTGGAGAAATTTGGTTTGTGGTCCAGTCAACTCCCTAACCCCTCTAAGTCTATCATCCATTTTAGCAAAAACACTCTTCCTCAGGACAAAATTGCTATTCTTGATATTCTGAGGTTCAAAGAATGTGATCACTCATCCAAACACCTTGGGAATTATTCAAATGCATCTAGATGAATGATTATATTTATATTTATATATATACATACACTAGTGATGTCATCTGATAGATATATAATTTATCCAGGCAATTCATTTTAAAGGTTTTATTGCTTAAATAAAGTTCATTGACAACTTATATATATACACAATGAATTTAAATAGATGTTTTAATAAATTTCAAAATCGGCATCTGTTTTCACACAAAACCCATGTTAGTTTTTCTTTTATAGAATTATGTAAGTGACAAAATCAAGATATTTTTTTTTAAATGCAATGCTTAATTTCAAATAAATTGACCATAGTTAGAAGAAAATGTTACTATAAATAGTAAGACGTTGTGTTATGTTATACTGTTCAAGACTCGGTTTACTTTATTTAATGACTTTGTAAGCCTTCTAGATGGGTGGCTATATATATTTTTGCAGACCATAAATAATTTTTTAATTTTTTTTCGAAAATACTGAAGCTTTTTTTTTTAAGTTTATGATAATTATAGAAAAAAAAAATTATTATTATTTTAAGATAAATAGTATATGATTCTTCAAGAATTATTGTTCTTTTTATGAATAAACATCAACCCAAATCATTTGTTGGTTCCGATTAATTCATGATTCGTATTTTTAGAGAAAATTTCACTTTTTTTAAACTTTAAATTCTAATTATTAATAGGTGTTTGAGACATTACTAAGAAAAATCTCAAAATAAGTTTAAATAATTCCGCTTGAAAGCCATACAACTAATCGAGCTCGAGTCAGAGTTCATCGAACTTTAATTATTATTATTTTTAGTTCAAATAGGATAGTTACCCAAAAAGCTTAAACCTTTGTATCATAAGTGATGATGATAGCATTGATAATAATGTATATTAATCAATATAGATTATATAACATTGACTCGTCCTTAGTGAACTCATCCAATTTGGCATATCTCATTAAAAAAAATGATTAAATAAGAATGTCAAGAAAAAGAAGACTAAAACTTTAAAAGTGGGTTAGAACTTTAAACATTAAATACTTTAGATAGGAATCATTATGTAGCCATTTCATCTCAATATACACTAACAATTTTCAAAAGTAGGTGGTGTTTACTATAAGCTTATTTAAAAGCAGAAGTTAATAATTGTGAGTTAAGTGAGTATTAAATGTTTATTTCAAAAAATTGGGGACATTTGCAAATATGTTAGAAAATCAACTTAAATAGAAAAAACAAGTCTAGAGATGTTTTTAAAAAAATAGTTTAAAGCAACTTATTTTAGGAGAAACATGAACAAAAGCTAGTTTTACAAACACCGAGAAACAGATTATGAGCAAAAAAAACCTCAAAAGCTGCTTCTAAAAATTTTAGCAAACAAGTGAATGAAACAAATATTTAGTACGTGAAGAAATAATTAAAGGGCTAAACCTATTTAGGCCCAATTAGTAAATTGGGCTCAGTGTTCAAATCCGGGTCCTTCAAACGACCCACTTTTAAAACGGACATACAATTCGGATCGTACCAGATTCCCAATTTCACAAGGCCCATCTTCTTCTTCTGCTTCACTATTTTCCAAAGCGTGCCCCTTTCCATTTCTCTCATTTTTTTTCTCGCTCAATCCTCCGCTGTTCATCCACTCGCTCTCGTTCTTCTTCATTTATTTTCAACGCTCTTACTCAGGTAAATCCTCTTTTCCTTACTCTTTAATTCATATATATTCGTCGATAACTGCCGATTTCTCACATCTAGGGTTCTTTTCTCGATTGTCTGTTAGATTTAAATCTTTGTGGCGAATCGAGTGTTAGTCTTGATTTTTTTATGATTTAGATTCTTCATTTTTTGGTTTTTTTTTTAAATCTGTTTATTGCGTGTGATTTTATGTTTATTGAAGCTTGTGTTTAATTTAGGGTTTATGTTGGAAAAATTTGGGTCTTTAGTGGGAGTTTTGCTAAAGATCTAGACTTGAGATCTAGACTTGAGATGATTATAAAGATCTAGACTTGCCGCCACAATGATACGAATTAGAAGCTATTGTTTTTCTGCGGTGCTGGTCAATTGTAATAGGATTTGAGTTTCGCCGTGGTTTTGGCTTTCTGATTGCTTCCTTTGTTGTTAGAGTTTGAAATGATATCAGTTTCATTCTAATTTGAGAAAATGCCTGCTGACTCCTTAATTTCAGATATTTGAAAAAAAAAATGTTTTCTTTTAAAACAGAATTGGATGCTTGTAAGATTGTTTACATTGTTGAACCCAGAAACAAAATTAGTCTCTGCAGATAGCATTCTAAAAGCCTCTCATTATTTGAAATAACAAGCAGATCACCAGTGCTGTATTTGTTGGTATTCTGTGGATGTTGATGCATTCATTTTGGCTATTTCATATCTAGAAATGCTATTGTATGTTTTGGTTGTTTTCTAATTTCTTTAACTTATACGCAGACCACTCGGGTGCAGACATGATTGATCGTTTTATCGACAATACGATGTTCAGGGATTATAATGAAGCATATAAGGTGAGGTTGAACGGGAAGTATATTGAGCTTCAATTAACTCGGAGGTTTATGGCAGAGGTGGTTATGTTGCCTAGAACGCTTGTTAAGTGCATTTTGGAGAAAAATATGGAGGAGAAGATGCGTGTCGGTGAAATTAAAGAAGGTGATTCGGTTACTGTTGACCTTGGTTCTGATGGGAAGATATTGGTTCTTGACAGTAGAAGCGGTACTCTGGCGGAAGAGGCTGAGGAAGGTAGCAGTGGTGCTCCGGCAGAAGAGGCTCCGGCAGAAGAGGCTGAGGAACCAGTTATTGTCTAGATGTGGGCCCCATTGTCCTTTTTCCTGTGGTGTTTATTTATTATTATTTTTTTATCGTTCTGGCTATGTTGAGGTGACTGTGTAGAGCCAGTGCAACGAGAATGATTTAGAGTGCTCTTTAACTTCAGAATCGTTCTGGCTGTGTTGAGCTGACCTCCCAGTTGTTATAGTAGACTAAAACTTTCCTATGTAAACAATTTATTTTTAATAAAAGTTAATTCGTTCGAGAATTTGCATTTGGTTATTAGTCGCCTATAATTTGAAAAATGATTATTCAATATATTAATTGCAAGAGTCCAAATATTGTAATAGTATTTGAGATGTTGTGTTAAGTTAGGATGTTGTACACGTAAGATCATTTTTAAAGTTCGTTTAGAATATTAAGTTTATAAGTTCCCAATCTTAATGGAATTGTACAAACTATCGAAAATGATTGTAGCAAAATATTTAAGTGATCTATCTTGATCACAGTAATCCGAGATGTAGCAAAATATTTAAGTGATCTATCTTGATCACAGTAATCCGAGAATAACTTTGGTAGTTATTGTTTCAACTTATCGTGCTAGCACACCCAACACGTGTTGAACTAAACTAAGTGAAATAATTATTTAATCACTGGTTGAATATGAAACCATATTATTTTGTGGTTTTCAGAAGATTACTTAACATCTTAATATCTAAATAATTAACGTACACGTTTAATTGACAATCTTCAATTTGATGTCGCAATGGGAGAGACTACAACTCAAGAGAGTCAAGTGAACCCCGATGCGTTGGGTGGAGACACTAAGAATTAATAGGTGGAAATTAATTATCGAAAGGAATTCGCATCTATGTGATATGAGATTGATGGATAACCCTTGAGTAACTTATGAGTTTTGATTATGCCTAAAGCTTGAACAAGTGGATTTTGTATTCAACATCTCAAATAAGTTAAGTAGGTAAGACTCATGGAAATATGCCAATTGGATTTAATTTAATAAAATAATTGGTGTTTCTTGGAATATCTCAATGCGAGCGGTAATTAGGCAATGATTAATCGGGAGCTTAAAATTAATTTTGAAAATTTAATCGGAGGTCAATAATAATTTTATAGTGAAACATAAATAATTTTTTAATAATTAATTAAATTGATTTTTTTTTTTGTGAATTCAAGAATTTAATTTGAAATTATTTTAAGCCCGATAATATTTTCTCCTTTAACTCCTTATTGTAACCCAAAAGATTTTCTAATAAATTGAAGAAAATAAAATTACCAAATATGTTTAGGAGAGAGAGGCCGAAAATCCTAGAGTCTTGGGACTCTAGGGGCCGGCCTCCTATGCTTGGTAGAGAAGAAATTGGCTTATCAATTTCTTTCCTTTTGGCATTTTTTTTTTTTTTGAGATAGGCCTTATAACACGGCTTACACACGCACCTAAACGGATTCGAACCCCGAAAATTCTATGCAATATATATATATTGCATAGTGCACGTGCACGTATTCCTAACACGTATATATATATATATATATATATATATATATATATATATATATATATATATGTATATGAGACTTTGTATGTGAAAAAATACAATTGTTATTTTTCCTGCACCCGAAAATTGAGAGTTGTTCTCTAGTTTTCTTCTTCAATTTTAGTATTAGATTTTACTCAAGAAATAAGCCCATCCTTATTGAGTGAAATTAAAACCCCAGAATACAATAGAAGATTTGAAGGTCAAGTGAGCTTGGTATTAAGGTATTCGACCATAGCATAATTTTTGGAGTGGTGTGTTTTTCCCAAAAATGACTTCGGAGTGATCTCTCCCATTGTCAGATTTAATAGACGCAATAAAGGTATATATTTCTAGACTAGATCTATTTTTCCGCAATCATGTAGATCTTTGCATGCTGGGTAATTTTTTTTGCGTATAGAATTTCGTACGAATAAATAATTGGACTACTCGACCTCACATCCCAACAAGTGGTATCGGAGCATCTCTGATTTATTCGTGCGTGATTCACCATGTTGTCCTAATCACATGAAATTGGTCATGCATTGCAGGATAGATAATGAGCTATTTTGTGGTTATATAATTTTGTTTTTATAATTTTTTTCGTGTGATTGGATCCCACTACCTTGTGAGTGGTTAATTGTCGTTTTTATTTCCATGACGAGATATTGATGGAAGATTGTGTGCCTACGATATTTTTTTCATTCTATGTAAATTTTTAAATGAGATGATATATGATGGTATGTACTTTTCTATTTTTTGTTTTGGTTGTAATCCCGTAGAAAACGAAAAATTGAAACGACAAGACAAGGCGAGGAGATGAGCTGAGCAACGACCATAGTGGTCGTTGCCCAGCCGCAGGAGGCCAGGCTGTTCCAGACCCAGGAGATGGGCTAGGCCGTTCCACGCCTGGCAGGAGACGGCGAGCGGACACAGCCCAGGCACATCCAGCAGGCGGTGGCGTCCTGGCGGTGGTTGCAGCGGGTCAGGCGGCATCCAGACGGCTCGGGTAGGAGGCTCGGGCAGCGGGCGGCAACATCAAATTGTGGAGGAATTTTAGTAACCCAAGATTCTTCCATAATTTGAGATATTGGGGATTCTTGGAATATACCTATTTTACTAGTAGTCTAAATTCAAGAGTCTCACCCTACTATAGATAGCGAATTTAATTTAAATGCTATTTTATTACTTTTATGTTAATTTTATTGCATGATTTGTTTTTCTTGTTTTGTTATATTGTGTTAATTAGTTGTACATTCATTCTCACATGCTATATAATTGAACAACATGAAAATTATGATTCATGTATGTTTAATTTTCTTGTTTCTCATAAATGTTTTTTAATATTAAGTGTTTTGGGGAATTTGTTAAGTAAAAATCTTGAGGTCTCCATCATGTGTTTATGATAATTTAATTGGATCATAAGAAAGTAGATTTATCGAATTTAATTGAGTTATATTTAATTGAGTTGATGCTGCCAATCCAGAAGGTGTGTCAATATCCTTTCCCTTCACTGATGCAGAACGTGACTTCATCCCTGAGCCACTAAGTTTAGTATTCTGTGAAACATAAATCTGGTCAACTCCAATTATTTAACTAAAAAAATTATGATGTTGTGAAGCTGGATTCATGAAGATCATACGGTCTTTATGTTTTTTTGCATTCTTATATTTGCTATTATTAATAGATAACACTTTCAATAAAAGATCAATGGAGTACTCACGGGATTGTTCAGAAACTGTACGCTCCATTTTTAGTGTCCATTTTACTCATTTATTTTTATTTTTTATACTGTCAGGCTAACCTTTTAATCTAGGGCTGGGATATTTTCTTCAGAGGGTTCCAGATATGGAAATCTTCATAGCCACAAACAAGCCTTTAACCTGTACTTTTTTCTTCCTCCTGGCGTTTATTGTTTGAATATTACTTGGGATATTACAACCTTAAATATGAGATCCATTTTTTCGTCTTAATTCAGATTATTTACCATGCACGATTTATATGAAACCATCATGAAAACAGATACACGAAGACTTCGCACTTATCTGCACTATGTTAACAAACTGAGATTGAACTTGTCAGGAGTCAGGACAATCAGCAAACAATAAAGCACACTTGCACTCTACCTACAATTGTTAGCATGAGACTACAAAATGAGCAACAGACTTCAATGTTCATCAACTTCATGGTTGACGATTGTTGGGGAAGTTCTACTGATTGTTTATATGTGTGATGTGTGTGTGTGTGTGTGTGTATAATAACATATGGAAAAAATAATAACCATTTTGATTAAGTTCATGAAAAGCTCTCCTTCATCACATCAACCATTCCTAGAAATTATAATGGACTGCATAAAAAGAGTGGTCGCAGAAACACTTCTACCTTGGAACTCTTCTGCTTATGAAATGAAGTTGAAGACTTGGTTCTTTCCATTACATGACACAGTCGAAGCTCATTTAGAGCATGCAAGAACACCTGAATGGTTTTAGTCAACACATGGGACTCGATACATTTTCTTGTACCTGTAAACAATGAAAGAAAACACAAAACCTGATAAATTAGAACTTTGTAAGATATATGGTATCAGTAACCATAAATTTTGAACCAGCGCCCAGAAATAATACTGACCAAAAATATACAGGTGTAGTAGATTGCACTATCCAATTCCAATAATGAGAACCATTTTATAACAAACTATATCATACACTATTTTGAGAAATGTATACTTAGTAGTTAGACAATAAGGGAGGCCAATATCTGTAAGAAATTCAGTATGCATGTGATGCCAGAGGCCCACAGCTGTTACAGTCCTAGAGATGTTGATGCAGAATAGCAACCAATGCCTCATCAAACATAATAACTAATAACAAAGGTGAGGAAAGACTATTTCACTTAACAATCTGAAATGGGACCACGCATGAATTTGTTCAGGCTACGATAATCCTAAGAAATAAAATTGAATGTAATTATCCTGATGCATCATGTCATAGTTGGTTACCTGACACAAAAATGATTCAAACTTATAAGATTGTGTAAAAAAGCGGGAAACTTGCCTCGAGCGAGATTATTTTACACAGATCAACATTTGAATCCTTACTTCCAGCTATATTAAGAATAACGTCTGAGAAAAGAAGTTCAGCAACTTCGGACTTTACCAGCACAATATCTTGGCATAATCTAAAATATATATCAAAAGGATCAACTGAGAAGATTTCTTAGAAAATAGTAAGCAATAAAAGAATAATATTCTTTCTCGGAATAACATACAACCTAAGAATAAGGTCGTCGCAGTAACTTATCACGGCACACACAACTGGACCAATTCATTCCTCAAATGTTTTATCAGAAGTAGACCAGAGTGAGTCCTCGATGGAAATTGATTTAGCTGACACAAAAAGAAACAAAAGAGACATCAACATGTAGTTAAACGAAAACAACTTTTCCTTTGCATGGCTCTTTAAAGAAATTGACAAAAATCCCAAAAAGAAAAACAAGAATTTAAACATGACCTTGCTATACTAACAAGAATTCACCATTCCATAATTTCACAAGGAGCTAGGAAATATGCATTAACAGTTAAAACTCTAGTTCCTATGATAAAACAAAAACAAAAAATTCTATTCTGAAGCAGCAACCACTGACTTTTTTGTGCAACAGGGCACCCAACCTAGATTTCATTATCACCCCTTGCCACAGGAGCTGGCTGCTGGATAACAGTGGCCCTATCACACTGGAT